GCACAGACTGAAATAATTATGTACAAAACTGGAAAACAAGTGTCCACCAGTAGCAGAAGCGTAGCAAAAACTGTTCCTTCTGCAGAATGGATTCCACAGCACTGATGATTAAGGGGTACACTGATGCTGCATGGAATGTCTCTATGTACAGCACAGCCTCTTGAGTTGTTTCTTTTTCCCCCATACGAAGTCTCACTCTGTCACCCCTGCTGGAGTGCAGTGGCATGATCTTGGGTCACTTGGGTCACTGCAACCTCCACCTCCTGGGTTCAAACAATTCTCCTACCCTTCCCTCCCCAATAGCTGTGACTACAAGTGCCCACCACCATGCCCGGCTAATTTTTTTATTTTTAGTAGAGACAGGTTTCACCCTGTTGGGTTTTACCATGTTGGCCAGGGTGGTCTCAAACTCCCAACCTCAGGTGATCCACCTGCCTTGGCCTCCCAAAATCCTGGGATTACAGGCATGAGCCACCATGCCTGGCAGAATATTTTTTATGATATTTAAGTTAAGGACAAGCACAAAATTATTTTTATAAAGGTAGAACCAGAAACTTATTTTGGGGAGAAACAATAAATTCAGTAGATTGGGAAGTAGATGTATTTCTAATTTTAAGCCTTTCATGGTTTAATTTATATTTTTATTTTTTTGAGAGGGTGTCACTTTGTCACCCAGGCTGGAGTACAGTGGTACAACCACGCTTACTGCAACCTCCACCTTCTGAGTTCAAGCAATCCTCATTTCAGCCTCCGGAGTAGCTCCCGTGTGCATTAAAGCTAGGACCACAGGGACACATCACAATGTCCAGCTAATTAAAAAAAAAATTTGTAGACATGGGGTCTCACTATGTTACCCAGGCTGGCTTTGAACTCCTGAGCTTAAGTGAACTTCCCACCTTAGCCTTCCAAACTGCTGGGATTAAAGGCATCAGCCACTGTACCTGGCCTGAATTTTTTAAACCATGTGTAGTTTTATATGACACATATATTTTACAAATACATACCATATTTCACATAAATTAAGATGTGTTCACTGAGGTTATCTAGATGGCAGGTTTATAGGCCATTTCTTCACTTTTTTTTTTTTTTTGAGATGGAGTCTCACTCTATTGCCCAGGCTGGAGTGCAGTGGCACGATCTTGGCTCACTGCAACCTCTGCTTCCCAGGTTCAAGCGATTCTCTTGCCTCAGCCTCTTGATTATCTTATTACAGACACATGCTACCACGCCTGGCTAATTTTTATATCTTCAGTAGAGACGGGGTTTCACCATGTTCTTCCAGGCTGGTCTTGAACTCCTGACCTCGTAATCCACCCACCTCGGCCTCCCAAAGCACTGGGATTACAGGCATGAGCCACCCTGGCTGGCCTCGTTTTTTTTTTGTCATAAAACATAAATAACATAAAATGTGCAACCATCAGCAACACATCCAGAGCTTGTTAAATATTCTAAGCCGAAACCATATCCCTATTAGACACTAACTCATTCCTTCCCTGCAGCCCCTGGCAGCCTCTAATCTACTTTGTTCATGAATTTGACTGTGCCAGGCGAACTTCGGATTCATGGAGTCACACATCATTTGACCTTTTGTGATTGGCTTCTTCCACTCAGAATAATGTTCTCGAAAGTTCTTCCGTGTTGTACCATGTGTCACTTGCCTTTTCAAGGCTATTATTTCATTGTACCAAAAGATGCACCTTGGTTTATCTACTCATCTAAGGACACGTGAGTTGTTTCCACCTTTTGCTACCGTGGACAGTGCTGTGTGGATACGGATGTGTAATCTGTAGGAGTTCTGGCTCTCACTTCTTCAGGTGTACACCCAGAGGTGAAACGCTGGATCCTAGGATAATACTGTTTGAATCTCTGAATCATCATCACTGTTCTCCACGGTGGCTGCACCACCTTACACTCCTACAGCAGTGCGCAGGGGCACTCTGTTATTTTAAATTCATGTTTTCTTTTCATGGCTGCTGCAGAGGCCGCACTGTGGGCTTCTTGGCTCGTACCTGACCTTGCTGGTGCCGTGTGCTCTGTGACGCCAACGACCTTTCACAACAATCTGGGACAACCCCACACCCTAGGCCAGGCCAGTGGTGGACCAGGTGCAGCAGGGGCAGGGGTGCTAAGTTCACCCAGGCCTGGAGAGTTTAGACAGCAGATCTGCACTGTGCCCCAAGAAAAGAGGTGACAGCTGAGGCCCCTCTTGCTGCCCTGGGGCAGGGAGGCTCCTGCAGGTAGTGGAAAACCTTAGTAAGGCACTTACCTCAAAAGCCCCTACCAGCGCAGGGCTTCCTGGTGACCTGGCCATAGCCGTCCTCAGTAAGTTACATGTGGAGTGTGGACTCACTGCCTTTCGTCAGCAGGGAATGCCGGGCTGAGGGCCCAGAGAGCTGCTCACAGGGAGAGCTCGCCTGAGTTCTGGGAAGCAGCTCTGTGCAGGCCCTGGCCTGCCACAGGTGAGCCAGTGCAGGGCTGGGAAGGCAGGAGGCGCAGGTGAGGCCTTTGGAGGCAGGTTCCTCCCACCCACAGGCAGCTGCAGAGTGGAAACCCCCAAGGGCTCTCTGCGGTCAGGCCTGCAGCTCCTAGGATCTTTGAGCTCCCCTCTCCCAGGTTTCTCAATACTTCCAAGAACACCTGAATAGAATAGGAAGCCAGGGTGGGGAGTGAAAGCAGCAGACTGCTGGGCCTGGAACCTGCATCACTGAAATGGATGCTCAAGTTTGGGAACTGCAGATCTGGGCAAAAGCTAGCCTCATTCTGAGGAGTTCAGAGGCAGGAGAGTGGTCCCCAAGCTATGGCTGCAGGGAGAGCTCCTGTCATCAGCCCTATGAGTAGGGACATACCTACCAGGTCCCTGGAGACCAGCAGGAGTTCAGAAATGAAAAATGGGAGGTCCCGCTGAAGGGCAGGGCTCACCCTGACTCTGGAGCCTGCCTCCCTGCTTGGCTGAGGGTCCTCCAGGGATTCCAGGGCAGTACCACTCCCAGCTCCTCAGGGAAGCCTGGCCAGCTGGCACTCCGTGAGGGTGTCACAATAGATGCTTAATGCTCCACGGGCTCATTTAGTCCTCATCCTGGGAGGCAGCAGGGGCTACACAACTAACTGCCCTCACAGCCCACGGGTTCTGAGGGGAAGGGGAGGCTTTCCAGACCCAGGTGGTCTCTGAACAATCTGGAAGGTGGAGAAATGACTCAGTTAAAACACCCCCATACTGGCTCTATGGGACTCCAGAACCCACAAGGAACTTGTAGTGACTGGGCATTTGGGGGCTGTCCTTGGTCAGGTGCTGCTCTCCTGGCAGGTGGCTCAGTAGGACAGCCACACGGCTGAGCAGCCTGGTTCTGTCCCTGCCTCCTGAAACTCCCTGCCCTTGAGGTTTTTGGTTTGTGAGAAAGTGACAGTGGCAGTGCCAAGTGACAGCTTCAGCACCCTCTGGGCACCATTCTTTGATATGGACCAAGTGCTTTCTCAATCCTGTGTGGTGGTTTCACAGCTTCAGCTGCCTCTTCCAACTTGTTACCTTGGGGCTGGAGGTGCAGGCTGCAAGGAGTGAGGATCCGTCCTGTGAGCTGCTGGGCTGGAGGAGCCTGGAGTACACAGAGGCTCTCAGCAGGGCTGAGGGGCATGCCATGGAAGGGGAAGGTGGGAAGGCACCAGTTGAGGGTGATACATAGGACCTGGGCTCTGGGACCCTGATCCAGGGGTATGTGAGTGCGGCAGTGAACGAGATCGCATGGTGGGGCTGGGCTTCCTCCTGGAGTCAGGGGAAAGGCAGAGACTTCACCTCTCCTCTCTCATTGCAGTACCAACAGGTCATAGAACTGAGGAAGCCTATGAGGTGAGGCTGCATCTGGGAGACCATGCCTAGGCCAAGGGGCAGGTGTGACCCCAACTGTCTGTGGGGCTTTTTTTGAAACTCTCTCTGTTGCTCAGGGGCACGATCCTGGCTCACTGCAAACCTCTACCTCCTGGGTTAAAGTGACTTTCCTGCCTCAGCCTCCCGAGTATTGAGTAGCCGAGATTACTGGTGTGTACCACCATGCCTGGCTAATTTTTGTTTGTTTTTGAGATGGAGTCTTGCTCTGTAGCCCAGGCTGGAGTGCAGTGGTGCGATCTTGGCTCACTGCTACCTCCTCCTCCCAAGTCCCAGTTCAAGCCATTCTCCTGCCCAGCTTCCCGAGTAGCTGGGATTACAGGCACATGCCACCAAGCCCAGCTAATATTTGTATTTTTAGTAGAGACAGGGTTTCACCATGTTGGCCAGGCTGGTCTCAAACTCCTGGCCTTCAGTGACCCACCCACCTTGGCCTCCCAAAGTGCTGGGATTATATATGTGAGCACACCTGGCCTTTTGTCTCTTTAGAAGCAGCTCAGATCAAGTGATGTTGTGGAGGCTTTGGGTCTCAGACTGAAAGACTCACAGAAACTTTTTGCCTATTTTAAATTGCAGTTATCAGGTGTTCTAAGCTCATTAACTACTTAACACTTAAAGTTTTTACATTTTGGGATTCTTCTTCTATTGACATCAAATTCATTATTTTGTAGCACCTTGGACTAATTTTTGAATTTGGGATTAGCTGTGACACCCAGCCCCCACCTCTGATTAATTGTATACTCAGAGCCACTGGAACTTAAGACACAAGGGAGGGGGTGGGGGAAGAAACTCCCAGCCCCAGAGCTCAGGGTGTGACACTCAGGCTGACCAGTGACAGACTGCTGGAACCAGACCTCAATCTCACAGCTGCAGCAGAAGAGCCAGGCAGACTTAGCTGAAATCCGGCCAAATCTCAGGCTCCAGGGAAACTTACCTACCCAATATGCAACAGATGAACCAGCTCAGGATTCCTGAGCTTTCCAACCCTCCTGGCTCCCAACACTAGGGGAAAAAAGTCTATTTTTGGCAAATACTTCTGGGGCTAAATCAATGCATTCTGAATAAGAGACAAAAAAACTAAGTCTATTTTAAAAAGAGCTTCCATTCTGATCACCCAACACCATGACTATACAAACCAGTTTTATTAGGGAACTGCCCCAGGTGAACCTCTGTTCATGCTCTCATCACACCTGTTTCTCAAATCAGCCCAGGCTCAGAGAGGCAAGTTACCAGCTAAGCAAAGAGGAAAACTGTTCTGCAAAATAGCAACTGTCAGCTTAAGGCATTACTAACATTGCAGAAGGAAGCAAGATTACTAGGGATGTCTGGATAGCCCAGGACAATGACTTCTGGGAACGGGAAGCCCTCTAGGGCCAGATCGTGCTGCCATCCAACTTAGGAGGTGACACTATCGTGCTGGGATGGTGGGTCACTCCTTCAAACCCATCCACATCACTGACAGAACACTGTCTATTCCTTGAGCTTTTGGATTTAGAAATTAGTTATATAAAAAGTACTCTTGGCCCAGAAGCCCCAACATGTGTGTGGGTCTCAGGGCACTCCCTCAGTCCTCCCTGGCTGGAGCAGGGGAGGATGGAGATACATGGAAGGTTGGTCAGGCTCTGTTTTAGAAATGAAGTCACATCTAGGAATCAGGAGCAAGGGGGCAGAGACCCCTGCTGCAATCACATGCTGAATCATTGTCCTCCTGAGAGCAGGCTCCTACGGTTCCTTCAGTCCACGGAAGTGCTCAGAGCAGGGCAGGCCAGTGCGGCCATGGAGCTGCCGCCCCCTCACTGCATGCCGAACCACTGCTCCTGGTCAGCCCACTGGGCCGCCTCACTGTCGCTGCCCTCCAGGTCCCCTTCTTCCCCACTCCCTTCCATGTCGTCCACATCCTCCTCCTGAGTGGCATCCGTGGGACTCTCCTCCTTCTCCATCTTCTGCATCCCCTCTAGAGACTTCTGGTCATTGGGGTCCAAACTAGGGGACAACAAAACAAAGGAGAGGCCTGAATCTCTGCCTTGCTCTTGCTGGCTGATTCGTCATCTCCCTGGCCCAGCAGTGAAATGACCACACAGTCCCAGAGAAAGTGCTAAAGCCTGGCCTCTCCAAACAACTCAGGCTTCCGAGGCTGGGTTGATGGAGTCCACCATGAGAAGGGCAAAAAGGAGTCTTTTCCTAATTTTTAGAGTTCTCAATTTGAGTTTTTCTCTACAAATTTCTTAAATTTTTTCATTCCTATTACCCCTAGCATTCTGCTAGTGGCTACTAGATAACACAAATGAAAAAGTGGTAAACAAACATTAACAGGTAAATTCAAACGTAATTCCCAGAAAGTTGGGTTTTTGAGCTATGGGGTTACAAAAAAAAATAGGAATTTCTCTGAGTAGAGGTGTTCCATGTTCTTATGATGTAATTAAATATATCAGCATTTCAGGAGCCAACCAAAAACATCATGCTGTACCATGGAACAGATTTGTAAACACCTAGGTTAGACCCCAGGACCCAAGGCTACCCTTACCCGAGCATTCACATTTAGTAGCTGGGAGTCAGTAAATGTGCCACCCCCATCCCCAGAGTTCAGAGCCTCTAGAACATTCATTTGTTTGCCTCCTAAGCAATCTTTCATCTTGCCTTGGTGACCATCACCCAAGCCAGCAGGTGTCCCACGCCTAGTAAACTCCATCTCTAATAAAAGTCTAGTATTTTTTTTTTCTCTCTTGCTTCTGGGCTTCTAAAAAGCAGCCAAAACCCACATTGGCATTCTGTTTCTAACAATGTAAATGCGGACCGATCTGTAATATCTCCTGGTCTCCTAGTTGCTGAACCCTTCCACACCCATACTCTGAAGCTCTCACCCATACCCAGGGCTCCTGCCCTCTGGACTCACACCTTCCCTTCTACAGACTGCTATGAAAGCCCTTAGCATGTGGTATGGTCAGTCTGCATGTCTAAGACTGACAGCTCCCAAAACATATCATCTCCAATGGTCACTGAGATGATAAGCACACAAGTGGTGCTCAACTGTGTGCTGAACAACTGAATGTGATCAGACTCTATTAAAGACAGCCCCTCACCATATAATCTTACACACACACGGACAACCCTCAAATAAACCACTTCTGTATTAAACAGTAAGAAGACCACTATTTATTTAGTATTTACTATGTACCAGGCACAGGGCTAAGAGCTTACATGTTATAATCATTTAACCCTCATTCAATCATTTAATGTCTAATAGGTAGATAGATATAGACAAGGAAATGTGTTAGTAACTTGCCCAAGATCACAGGTGGTGAAAGTAGTATTCAAAACTTCAGACCTCAAGTTCTTAACTACTACAGTAGATAGAAACATGGGAAAGTACTTACAATACTTTGATTTGAAAAAGAAGAATATAAAATATATACTAGGTACAACCCTATAAAAATATGTATGTGAGTGGGCAAGGACAGAAGATGATCTATACAAATGAACACAGATGTTATAGTGGTGTGGAATGGTTATGAGTGAAACAGTTCCTTAATGTTGTTAATATATTTTAAGAAAAAATTTTTAGAAGTCATGAATTCACAAATAACTCTTCTATCATTACTATTATTGTTCTGCTTTCAACCACAGACACAAACTGTGAATGTGTTTCCATAACTCCTGTGACGCAGCTCACTGCCTCCTCTACCCTCCTCAGTGGCCTTCCCCCACGGGAGGCTAGTGCCTACCTTAGTGCTATACTATACTGGTCCATTGCCTCCTGATACTCATTGACAGCTACAAGGAAATCTCCTAGGATCCGATGCAGGACACAGTCGCTCTGATTAGCCAGTGCGTTCCTCAGCAAAGCAATTCCATCTTCGTATTTCTGTTCTCTACCTGGGGGGATAAAAAAGACCCTCACTGTCCTACATTAACATTTAAAAAATACATTCTCATCTTAAGTCATGTACAAAAAACCACAACTATCATTCTGACAATCTCTTTGCAGACATCCTCAAGAGAATACTGGTGCAACACAAAGCGAGGGGCAAGCACACCTGAGGTTTTAGTCAATTAAGAAATTCGCAGTCTGAATTATGTTTTAAATGGGCTCTTTTTTTTTTTTTGAGACAGAGTCTTACTTTGTCACCAGGCACCAGACTGGAGTGCAGTGGCACAATCTCGGCTCACTGCAACCTCCGCCTCCCGGGTTCAAGCAATTCTCCTGCCTCAGCCTCCGGAATAGCTGGGACTACAGACACATGCCACCATGCCCAGCTAATTTTTGTATTTTTAGTAGAGACGGGGTTTCACCATGTTGGCCAGGATGGTCTCGATCTCTTGACCTCGTGATCCACCCGCCTTGGCCTCCCAAAGTGCTGGGATTACAGGCTTGAGCCACCGTGCCCGGCTTTTTATTTTTTTTTTTGAGGCAGAGTTTTGTTCTTGTTACCCAGGCTGGAGTACAATGGCATAATCTCGGCTCTCCGCAACCTCCGCCTCCTGGGTTCAGGCAATTCTCCTGCCTCAGCCTCCTGAGTAGCTGGGATTACAGGCACACGCCACTGTGCCCAGCTAATTTTTTGTATTTTCAGTAGAGATGGGGTTTCACCATGTTGACCAGGATGGTCTTGATCTCCTGACCTCGTGATCCACCTGCCTCGGCCTCCCAAAGTGCTGGGATTACAGGCTTGAGCCACCGCGCCCGGCCTTAAATGGGCTCTTAACGTTAAAAAGCCAAACTGCATTTTATTTGCCAACTAACCCAAATTTGATGAACCAAATTATGAGTTCATCATAAGTCAGGACTGAACAAAAACAGGGCTAAAAGCGAAGTCACAAAATAATCCAGATGGCTCTGAACAGGTCAAACTGGCTAAAACAAGTTAGTTATATTCAGCTCAAACTAATTCAGGATAAATCAAACCAGATAATAGTGAGCCAAACAGATACCAACTAATAGATGGTTTGAACCAAGCCAAGCAGGTCTAAGCCAGCTACATTTGGTTGGACTAAATACAAACGAATCCAAGCAGGCTCAGACCTGCTGCAAAAGGCACACACCTGTCTGGTCATCTGTAACTAGCTGGGACAAGGGTGACCACCAACTGAGGTCAGGATTTATTAAAATTAATGATGAACAGGGCAGAAATTAAGACACTTACTAAGTAATTCTGCTTTTTTCACCACAGCCTTAATGTAATCTGGCCTTTGGGTCAGGGCTTTATCTAATAACGTTTTGGCTTTCTCCTGTGTCACTGGGTCTTCAAGACAAACAGTGGCTAAAAGGGTAAGCGTCTGTGCATTTGCTCCCAGAGTTTTGTAAACGTTGTTAGCCATTACCATTGCTTCTCGGATACTGTTGGAGGCTAAGTAACATTCTATGAGACCTGAAAAAAGTAAAACACATGAAGACATTCAATGCCATTACCATTCCAACCCATGCTTCCACTCTGACAGCTGTCCAAATTGCTAACGTTCAAAGCTTCAAACGGCAGGCCAGGGGAAACTGATGGTGAGATCAGACTGGCAAGTGTTGATGGAATAGCTAAGAAGTGCTATTCCAGAGCACTTGATGGATGTGGAAAAAGACTGCCTTCAAAGGCACCTTCAGTTTAGGGAAGGAAACAAGCACGTGTAAGGAACTCACAGCATGTGAGCACCCCATCTGACCGCTAGAAGAACAAATGTGACGCTAATGTTTAGTCTGTCATATGGCCAAGAAATTAAAGTAGTGAGAGATGATGTTCCAACAAAACCTAAAGTTTTGCTGCCTCTTAACAAGCTGTTATTCTCCAGCTGCATTCAGTCACCTGCAGGCCTATGTTTAAGAGGGAAGTCTCCTAGAATCTTTTTTTTTTTTATTTTGAGACCGAGTCTTGCTCTGTTACAAGGCTGAAGTGCAGTGGCGTGACCTTGGCTCACTGCAACCTCTGCCTCCCAGGTTCAAGTGATTCTCCTGCCTCAGCCTCCTGAGTAGCTGGGATTATAGGCACAGGCCACCAAGGCTGGCTAATTTTTCTATTTTTAGTAGAGACGGGTTTTCACCATGTTGACCAGGATGGTCTCAATCTCTTGACCTCATGATCCACCCGCCTCAGCCTCCCAAAGTGCTGGGATTACAGGCGTAAGCCACCATGCCTGGCCTAATTTTAATTTTTCTTTTTTTTTTTTTTTTTGAGACGTAGTTTCACTCTTGTTGCCCAGGCTAGAGTGCAATGGTGTGATCTTGGCTCACCGCAACCTCCGCCTCCCAGGTTCAAGTGATTCTCCTGCCTTAGCCTCCCTAGTGGCTGGGATTACAGGCATGCACCACCACACCTGGCTAATTTTTTTTTACTTTTAGTAGAAACAGGGTTTCTCCATGTTCATCAGGCGGGTCTGCAACTGCTGACCTCAGGTGATTCACCCACCTCAGCTTCCCAAAGTGCTAGGATTACAGGCATGAGCCACCGCACCTGACCTGGCTCCTAAAGTCTTAAACTGAAAGTCCAGTTCAACAAACTATAGGACTTATTGTCAAGCAATCTAGTAAGACTCTTTCATTTGAAACATAACAGCTGTCTCAAAAGGCACTTGCTGAGGGCTTCCCTAAACTAGATGACAGTATTTTATCAGATCCAACAAAAAGACTGTCACTGGCAGCCCTTGCCTCTTTCCACACCCACAGCAAGACGCCCTATGGGACCACCTTGAGAACAGTCAACTCTCAACTCTTCATGCCAAGAAGTTGAGGAGAACAGAGGAATAACTTTTTGGCACAAAGTGCTCATCAAAACAGAAAAACAGCTTAAACCCCAAACCCACACAATCCTTGGCAGATTTTCTCTGCATACTCCTCCACCCTAGCAGCATTTATAACATTCATGCACACCCTTCCACACACTATGGTTACTTAACCAGAAATTACCTAACTCTTTTTTTTTTTGGAAACGAAGTCTTGCTCTGTCACCCAGGCTGGAGTGCAGTGGTGACATCTTGGCTCACTGCAACCTACATCTCCTGGGTTCAAGTGATTCTCCTGCCTCAGCCTCTTGAGTAGCTGGGACTACAGGCATGTGTACCATGCCTGGCTAATTTTTTTTTTTCTACTTTTAGTAGAGATGGGGTTTCACCATGTTGGCCAGGCTGGTCTCAAACTCCTGACCTCAGGTGATCTGGCTATCTCAGCCTTCCAATGTGCTGGGATTACAGGCGTGAGCCACCGTGCTCAGCCAATTACCTAACTCTTAAGGGCACCATGTTGGATTCCAAATACAGTTGTATGCAATTACTTATTGAATAGTTTTACTTCCCTGCTAAAGCTCCACTGGAACTTCAGAAGAAAAGAGCATGCACTTGCCTAACCTAAACCTCTACCAGCAAAGGAAGCTCCAAATGGGAACTCTAAGAAACATTAAAGGGTGTAACAAGGGTTGCCCTGAGCCAAATCTCCAAATGGCAGCTTGAAAAGCCTCACTGGCCAACTGGGAAACATCTGGTGTCCAGATATTATAGGAGGGGCTATTCAACTGCATCCCTGAGCTCCAGTGAAATAAGCGTGAAGTACAATGGAATTAGCATAACAACAGCTGGAAAGAAAGAGAAGTTACACTTTCAGGATCAAGAAGTTAATCTGAAACCAGAACTTGGTTTGCTGGAGCTTCTTTAAGAACAAAGACAATCCTCTTTCCCCACAACAAATCCACCAGAGGCATACTCTCTGGCTATTTAAGCAGATTTGTTCTCCCTCCCAACTTCCAAATTTTATTTCTCAAATTTGAACTCATCTTCCTGTTAAGAGCAAATCACTCCTAGACTCCTGGGTTTATTTTTAAATGCTTACAAAAATATGTTTTGGAGGAACTGCATCTTGTAAGATCTATTTTAATGTCTGTGACTGAGTCACCAAACGTTGCTGAAGCTGGCATAGCTCCTTTGAACTCCTAGGGGTCAGTTCACATGAACTTAAACTATGACATAACAAAACAGTTGGACCCCAATTGTGCCCACTCTGGAGGTCACAATGAACAGACCCATTCCCAAAGCCAACAGTATCATATGGACGTGGAGTTATCCTATGAGTACTATCTCTGGCCTAAGGTAAGATGGCCACAAAAAAGAACAGGTATAACAGGGCATGCACAATGGCTCATGCCTGTAATCCCAGCACTTTAGGAGGCTGAGGTAGGCAGATCACTTGAGGCCAGGAGTTCGAGACCAGCCTGGCCAACATGGCAAAACCCCGTCTTTACTAAATATGCAAAAATTAGCTGGGCATGGTGGCACACGCATGTAATCCCAGCTACGTGGGAGGCTGAGGCAGAAGAATCGTTTAAACCCAGGAGGCAGAGGTTGAAGTGAGCTGAGACTGCACCACTGCACTCCAGCCTGGGCAACAGAGTAAGACTCTACCTCAGATAAAAATAAAAATAATAAAAATAGGTAAACTAAGTGATCTAGCATGGTGCCTCACACAGAGAGATTCATATTAATGAGTATGCCACAATGGGTCGGGGCAGGGGTGGGAGGACAAAAACAACCACCCCATCCCAACTATCCTCTCACCAAAACCAGAAGAAAAAAAAATGAGAAAAAATTGATTCTGAAAGTATGAGGTAACAAATCCAGTGAAAGCCCTAAATATATGTAAAATGCCCAGTGTAGTGGTTCCCCAACTTGTCTGCATATTGCTAATACCTGGGTATCTTCAGAAATATTGATGTCTATTCCCAACCCCGTATATTTCCATCTACACTGGAGATACCCAATAACAGGATTTTGAAAAGCTTTGCCAGATGCTTCTAACAGAGTTTGGAAAGTGCTGGCCTAATGAAACCTTCCACCTTAGGGCCGATGCCACACCCACAGATGTACACCATTCACCTTTATTTTCTATCTTACCTTCATAACAATCTAAGCGACAAGGTGCGAGCCGTATGGCCTCCCGAAAATGGATTATTGCTTCTTGGACTCTGCCCATGTTCCTAAGTGCTGCTCCCTTAAGTAGCAAAGCTTGAACACTATTACTGTTCAGCTGAATGGCCTTGGCTCCTAAATAGAGGGCCCGAGAGTAGCGTTTGCTATAGAAGCTGTGACAACTGGAGAAAACAAAAACAAAAACAAAACCCAGAAGTTATCCAAAAGGACTACAAAGAAACTTCATCCAAAAATCATACTGAAGGTCCTGTACATAATCCTTATTCCAAACCCAAACTTACCATGGTTTTTGCTTGTTTGCTTTTTTTGAGACAGAGTCTCGCCCTGTCACCCAGGCTGGAGTGCAATGGCATGATGTCAGTTCACTGCAAACTCCACCTCCCAGGTTCAAGCAATTCTCCTGCCTCAGCCTCCCGAGTAGCTGGGACTACAGGCGCCTGCTACCAAGCCTGGCTAATTTTTTTGTATCTTTAGTGGAGACAGGGTTTCACCATGTTGGCCAGGCGGTTCTGGAACTCCTTACCTTGTGATATGCCTGCCTCAACATCCCAAAGTGCTGGGATTACAGGCGTAAGTCACTGAGCCCAGTCCCACACTTAGTTTTAACCTAAGCTATTAATGGAAAAGCAAAACCAAAAAATCCACTAAATATTTCTTTTTAGAGGGAAATCTTAATATGGAAAGGAAAAATTATGGAAAAGAACCTACAATCTGGATACTAGTTATTAGCAGAGAGGCATTTGGAGAATTTGTAAAGCCAGGTTAGTAACAAAGGAGCATCTTCTGGTCCTATCACTGATGGCCCAGTACTAAGCACAATACATTCACTGACTCAATTAATGCTTAACCCTAGAAGGAGAAGTTATTAGCCAATTTTCCAAATGAGAATATAGACCTAGATAGGTAAATAATGCATTCAGAGTCCTAAATCATGATTTCAATCCAGGACTAATTATCCTTTTAAAAAATATACATACATATACACACACACACACACACACACACACAAAGACAGAATCTTGCTACGTTGCCCAGGCTGGTCTCAAACTCCTGAATTCAAGTAATTACTTTTTTATTTTATTATTTTTTTGAGACAAAGTCTCACTCTGCCACCCACATGGAGTGCAGTGGCTTGATCTTGGCTCACTGCAACCTCCACCTCCCAGCTTGAAGCGATTCTCCCATCTCAGCCTCTCTAGTAGCAGGGATTACAGGGGTGCACCACCATGCCTGGCTAATTTTTGTATTTTTAGTAGAAATGGGAGTTTTGCCACGACGGCCAGGCTGGTCTCACAAGTGAACCACCTGTCTCAGCCACCCAAAGTGCTGGGATTACAGGCATGAGCCACTGTGCCAGGCCAGGTGATTACCTCTTAAACCTGTGCTTTCAACTTACATTCTCTTCAGAAGGAACCACTTCTCTTAATCTACTGACAACTAGGGAGAAAGGGGAATGCATAACCATACCCAGAGACCACCCACGGTTCTGCATGCTGATCAGAGATATTGAAAAGGCGGCATCCAAGGTTTTCCACATCCTCTAGCCGCCCTTCTCGTGCCAGGAGGTAGCCATATACATCCATTCCTAGAAAGGAAGGACACAGTGAGAAGAGGTGATTTAAGCAGAGCAGGAGGAATCCCACATACAGGAGTAGAGCCCAACATCAGACCCCATGCTGAGGCCCCAGCTCCCATAGGGGCTAAGCCCTTTCCACTATCACAGGCTCCTCCCACTACTATTTCAGGTTTCCTACAAAGTGACTAATTTCTTTTTTCTCCAGTGTCATGTGATACTATTTTTTTTTCTTTTTCCAAAGTGACTATTAAAAAGCAAAACCCAGCACGGCATGGTGGCTCACACCTGTAATCCTGGCACGTTGGATGGAAGAGGCAGGAGGATAACCTGGGCCTAGGAGACCAGCCTGGGCAATATGGTGAGACCCTGTCTCCACAAAAATTTTTAAAAATTAGCCAAGCACAGTGGCACATGCCTGTGGTCCCGGCTATTCAAGAGGTTAAGGCAGGAGGATTGCTTCAGCCCTGGAGGTCAAGGCTCTAGCGAGTGGTTTGTGCCACTCCAGCCTGAGTGATGGAACAAGACCCTGTTTCAAACGACAAAAACAAAAACCAAAGGAGCAGAACAACCTACCTCACAATTTGAAAGCCTCCGATTTTCAGGAACTATTTGTCCCTTTATCCTGTGGCATGATATACAGCTACCCGAATCCAACCAGAAAAGGCCCAAAAAAGGCATCAAGTAAGGTCTCTTTTCCAAGAGCTCTAGGCCATCAGAAATACACACTGAGTATGCTGCTGAAAAGCCAACCAGTCTCAGAAAAAGTTGGCCTGCTCCAGAAAACAGCCTGTAGTGCTATCCAGAATGCAGTTCATTAAAGATCAGGCTGGGCACGGTGGTTTACATCTGTCATCCCAGCACTTATAGAGGCTGAGGAGAGCAGATCACCTAAGGTCAGGAGTTCCAGACCAGCCTAGCTAACATGGTAAAACACCGTCTCTTCTAAAAAATACAAAAATTAGTCAGGCGTGGTGGTGAGTGCCTGTAATCTCAGCTACTTGGGAGGCTGAGGTGGGAGAGTCGCTTGAACCCAGGAGGCGGAGGTTGCAGTGAGCTGAGACTATGCCACTGCACTCCCACCTGGGTAACAACAGTGAAACTCCATCTCAAAAAAAAAACCAACAAAAACAAACAAAAACCTCACTGCCTCTCCCCAGCCCCCACTTTATTCTTACCCACATTCTATAAAAAGGGCCCTATGCTCAATCACCCATCTTTTGCCACCATTCTCTTCCATCCCTTGCTATTCCTTCAGATTCCCACGAACATTCCTCTCAAACCAAGACTACTGCAATGCTCCTGCTGGCCCCTGGGCCTGGATCTGAGATTCAGAGCTGCCATTCTCATTTAAGCTGCCAGCTACTGCCAGACTGGTATTTCTAAAACACCATTTTCATCATGGGTGCAGGCAGCTTGGAGAAGAGGAATAAGCACTAGGGAAGAGGGAAATCTTGTGCAAACAAATCCATCTTTCTAGATCTGCTTCCTCATCTAAATGTTTGGGATAGCTCCTTCCAGCTCCACCATTCCCCTGGGTTAAGAAGCTCACAAGACTATTTTTTGTTACAAGGCCCTATTTTTCTGATGGCCTTTTTTAGGCCTTTACAAATAGATAGCCTATCTATCTCACTTTATTTCCCACTATTCCTGAGCACTCACTGCCAGTGTCCCAACTGCCATCTCTTGGAGGTCCCTGTGAAGATTACCCTTCACCTACTAACTTCTTTAAAATCAATGATGTTTCTGCTGTTCACTCCTAATTACTGCCTAAATAATCTTTATCCCTTTCAAGTGTACAGATCTAATCACTGCCTAAATACTCCTTATCCCTGTTCAAGTGTACAGATCTTGAACATCTGTACACTTACTCCTTTTTAATTATACTAAGGACAGGGTAAAACAAAATTCCCTAAAAAGGATATTATGGTTTTAGGGATGCCATCCAAATTCTCAGTCAAGCACATCATAAATTTATAAGTCATAAGGAGGAGCTATGATCCCCCTCAAAAGAAAAAAAGCCAAATAATGATCTGTGGGGAGAAGACACTTGAATTCAAGCACAAAAAACTGCTCAAATGGAATTACCTAAGTGTTAGAGACATGTGTCAAGACCTAAAAAAAGTAAAAGACTACTGTAATAAGTTTTATAAACTATGTCTACGAAACTTGGTATCAAGAGTTCATGCTGCATTTTCTCCCTATTATCTCCAATCCCTCCCACCCTGCAACAGCCACTGTTTTCCTGTCCCAAGAATTACTTACCTTTTATCAGATAAGGATCCAACATCTGTGCCTGTTCAAACTTGAGGACAGAGTTTTTATTGTCTCCAGCTCTGAAGTACAGATCTGCTAAGCTTCCCAGTAGGTCCACGTTATCTCGCAATAAGGATTTTTTCTCTAGTGAACTTTAAGATATTTATTAAACACTGAACCTTTAAATTTATGATAAATCCTCTTAGTTGTTGAATCTGGATGATTGGTCATCCAGATGCTATTTTCTTTTGGGTAAATATAAAATTCTTTTTAATAAAAACTTTAAGCTTCTAACTTTAAAAAAAAGTTATACAGGATAGCAAAAACAGAATAAAGTAGAACTCAGTACCAACAAGTAACTTTCTGGTTGCAGTTCTTCAGAACACAACACACACTACATGGTGTTAAAGGTAATGTCATTCACATTTGACAGCTACTTATTACTCAACTAAATGACTTTGCATAACAAAAACCAAAGCCTCTTCTTGTTCTTGAACTTTAGCTGAACAGAAAGAAAATCCCCAGTCCTAAGAAGGCAAGTCAAGTTAGATGCTGCAATAAACTATGCTTCTGGGGAGTGCAAAATGATTTTCTTCCAGGTTAAAGAATGACACACTAAAGCCAGGCGTGGTAGTTCATGCCTATAATCCCAGCACTTTGGGAGGCCCAGGTGGAAGGATCACTTGAGCCCAGGAATTCAAGACCAGCTTAGGCAACATGGTGAAACCCCATCTCTATAAAAAAAATACAAAAATTAGCTGGGTGTGGTGGCATGCACCCGTAGTCCCAACTACTCAGGAGGCTGAGCAGGAGGATGGTTTGAGCCCAGAAGATCGACAGGTCAAGGGTACACTGAGCTGTGACTGCACCACTGCACTCCAGCCTGGGTGAGAGAGAGAGAGATCTTGTCTCAAAAAAAAAAAAAAAAAAAAAAAAAAAAAAAAAAAAAAAAAAAGAATGATACACCAAGGTAGACTGCTTTGCTTTGCTTTGCAAGGGTTACTACCTGTGCATGTGCAGAACTAAACTAAGTCAGATTTACATTTTTACTGGTCCCCAACAGACATGAAAACATGATTACATTTGGGACCATTCAGTATAAAAGACTAACATAGCCCAGAGACTGGCTGCAGCAACAAGAGAGAAGCATCTTATTTTTCTTTTTGCTCCTTCAGATACATCAGACTTCTAGACAAGGACAGGGCCTCAAAAACACTGAATTAACTTTGTGGCTCTCACCAGATGGTATTGATTGCTCTTGAGTTGTCACCGGTATGCACAAAAGCGTATGCTTTTATCCACACAGAGAGCCAGTCCAAGTTAGGCACGGTTTGGATCACATTCATTGTCATGGATGCCACCTCTGCCCCTTTTACAGAAAGGGACAGCAAGCCTAAACCAACAGAAAGCAGGAGAAAGAAGGTAAGGCACAACATCTCTCTTCCACATGCAAGGAGCAATGGGCTACATTTTCCCTCGGCTAAAAGACAACTGCTTTCCTATTCTAAGTGAGATATATGACAGAAAAAATATCATTTAGTGTTTCTTTTCTTTTTGAGACAGAATCTCGCATTCCAGTCCCCCCCCAGGCTGGAATGCAGTGGCATGATCTCAGCTCACTGCAGCCTCCGCCTCCAGGGTTCCAGTAATGCTCATGCCTCAGTCTCCCAAGTAGCTGGACTACAGGCGAACCCCACTATGCCCAGCTAATTTTTTTATTTTAGTAGAGAGAGGGTCTCAAACTCCTGAGCTCAGGCAATCACATACCTCAGCCTCCCAAAGTGCTAGGACTGCAGGCGTGAGCCACCGAGCCCAGCCAAAAACCATTATTAAGTATTTCTTGATTGAATATGTGACAATAGAAACCCTATTAAATCACTCTCTGGAGGGGAACTTTAAAAAATAAAGTTAGGCCGGGCGCGGTGGCTCACGTCTGTAATCCCAGCACTTTGGGAGGCCGAGGCGGGTGGATCACGAGGTCAAGAGATCAAGACCATCCTGGTCAACAAGGTGAAACCTCGTCTCTACTAAAAATACAAAAATTAGCTGGGCATGGTGGTGTGCGCCTGTAGTCCTAGCTACTCGGGAGGCTGAGGCAGGAGAATTGCTTGAACCCAGGAGGCAGTGGTTGTGGTGAGTCGAGATCGCGCCATTGCACTCCACCCTGGGTAACAAGAGCGAAACTCTGTCTCAAAAAAAAGAAAAGTTATTCTAATGTACGGCCAACTTTGAGAACTACTATCACTGACAGTAAACATGCCATGAAAACAGGCAGAAAATATCTCTACCTAGAATGGCATCAAGGGCTAACGGGCACTGCCTCAGCACCTCCTTATAGCTGGTGACTGAAGGGCGCTCCTGACCAGCCTTCTTGTACAGGTTTGCCAGCATCATGTTTATCTGTATAAACACAAACAACAGACAGTAAAATAAGTGTATACTGCAAAGAAAATCTCTCACAATGAAGAAGTCCTAATTTTCATTACCAGCTACTTACTTTTTACTGGAAAATCTACCCATAACCCTGTGCAAATAAAGGGAGACTGACCCCATTTTTCAAAAGCAAGAAGAAATCACTACCCTTGCTTTCCCTAGTACTTCCCATCCCTAAGAGGAAAGTAAAATTACCTTCCCACAAGGCCCAGTAATATCGGGACAAAAGACGCTGCCTCTGGAAACAGGAGTAACATTCTTTAAGAAATGGTAGAGAATGCTAGTTAACTCGATTCTTTCTTGATCTTAAAACAGAAGATGAACTACCTCACATAAGAAAGTGAGAAACTCTTGACATAGCTAGTTAAGAAGGATCAGATGAGTTTTCCCCTAAAAGGAAATGATACAGAAGGACAGATAAAGCAGTGTAATACTGGGCTTTTCTCTGAGAATTCGACTTGGGGCTGGACTCTAGCCTTTCAAACACTTAAGGCTTTGGCCCCTAGGTACTAATTCACTAAAATAATGCTATGAAAATCGGCTATACTATTTAAATCCAGTGACTGCAGGCAGCTGCATTTTAGCATAATTTAAACATGCAACTTGCTAAAGCTAAATAAAAATAATCCTACCTAACATGTAACTGAGAAAAATCTGAAAAAAATCTAAAAGTTCCAAAGAATGCAGAAGTTATAGGAAAGTGATAAAAAAAACCTTCCTAATAGTACAGAGATAAACACAATATTCCACTTTAAAATTATATATATATATTTTGAGACAGAATTTTGCTCTTTTCACCTAGGCTGGAGTGCAATAGCACAATCTCAGCTCACTGTAACCTCTGCCTCCTGGGTTCAAACGATTTTCCTCCCTCAGTATCCTGAGTAGCTGGGATTACAGGTGTACGCTACTAAGCCCAGCTAATTTTTTTTGGATTTTTAGTAGAGACAGGGATTCACCATATTGGGGCTAGGCTGGTCTTGAACTCCTGACCTCAGGTGATCCACCCACCTAGGCCTCCCAAAGTGCTGTGATTATAGGTATGAGCCACTGCACCTGGCAAAATTAGTAGGTTCTAAACACAATACTATTTGCTAGATTATTAACTAAGAAAGCAGTCAATGTGAGGGCACAAAAGAAAAAAAAGAACCCCAATCTCTTCAATTATCTGTGGTTTGGTATGCCAAATATTTACAGGAAAGAGTGACGCTGAAGATAAAGAATATCTGTTCCAATTGTAGAGCTACATTATATAAAACAATCTAATATACCATAATTCAAACAATGGAATAATGAAATACTAAAAATAAAACTATTTTTTACTTGGCCTCAGGTTTTCCATATTAGGCTAATTTGAAAATGCAAAGAAAAGTTCTTAAAGGAGAACTCCAGGATTGCTGTCAATACTTGTAAAGAATAAAAAGTTAAATTTAGGATCCTTTCTTGACTGCTGGAGGTACATGTATATTTGAGACGGCCCAGGCTGCAGTGCAGTGGCATAATCTCAGCTCACTGCAACCTCTGCCTCCCGGGTTCAAGTGATTGTCCTGCCTCAGCCTCCTGAATAACTAGGATTACGGGCACACGCCACCACGCCCAGATAATTTTTGTATTTGCAGTAGAGACAGGGTTTCACCATGTTGGTCAGGCTGGTCTCAAACTCCTGACCTTGTGATCCACCCACCTTGGCTTCCCAAAGTGCTGGGATTACAGGTGTGAGCCACTGTGCCCAGCCAACTGCTGGTTATATTAACAAACTATGACTGACAGACCAACTGTCTCAACAAATATCACCATTTCTTTTAAGCTACTTGACTGTCATTTAAAAGAATACCTAATGAAAAAGTCAGGCTGGGAGCGGTGGTTCATGCCTGTAATCCCAGCATTTTGGGAGGCTGAGGCGGGCGGATCATGACGTCAGGAGATCCAGACCATCCTGGCCAATATGGTGAAATCCTATCTCTACTAAAAATACAAAAAAATTAGCTGGGCATGGTGGCACACGCCTGTAGTCCCAGCTACTTGGGAGGCTGAGGCAGAAGAATCAATTGAACCCAGGAGGCAGAGGTTTCGGTGAGCCAAGATTGTGCCGGTGCACTCCGGCCTAGCAATAGAGTGAGGCTCTAAGAAAGGAAGAAGGAAAAAAAAAAAGAAAGGAAGAAAGGGGAGGGGAGGAAAGAGTAAGTTACTTTTAAAACAGATCCTCATTTAAGAACATCAAGGCTGGGTGTGGTGGCTCACACCATTAATTCCAGCACTTTGGGAGGCTGAAGTGGGAGGATCACAAGGTCAGGTGTTCAAGACCAGCCTGTGCAACATGGTGAAACTCCATCTCTACTAAACAGAAATACAAAAATTAGCTGGGCATGGTGGCACACACCTGTAATCCTAGCTACTTAGGAGGCTGAGGCAGGAGAATCACTTGAACACAGGAGGCGGAGGTTGCATGAGCCAAGATCACGCCACTGCACTCCAATCTGGGCGACAGAGCAAGACTCCGTCTCAAAAAAATGAATAAAAATTTTAAAAAATTAGCTGGGTGTGGCAGTATACAATTGTAATACCAGCTATTTAAGAGAGGTGGGAGGACTGCTTAAGCCTGGGAGGTTGAAGTTGCAGTGAGCCAGGATCACACCAATGCACTCTAGTCTCGGTGACAGTGAGACTCTTAAAAAAATATTAAATATATATAAAAAAAAGAATAAGCATTTGTAGTATTCTCCAGCTATCATTTTCATCAGCTGAATTTTCAGGATATCATAGAAAAGTCATTCATCTCTCTCTGAACCCCCACCCCTACTCCATGAACAGAGGAAGAAAATGAGAATTAGAGTCATGGGTAAAATGTTTACATGAATTTGAGAAAACACGGAGCGAACAGGGTTAGGAGGGCTGAGGATAAAAACACATAAACATTCAACTTACTTTGGGAGTTCTTTGTCTTGAAGGGATCCCATCAAGTATAGCAATGGCATCTTTATCTTGTTTTAGCATTGTATAGCATTCTGCCATTTTGTATTTCACTTCAATTTCAGATGGAAGACACTAAGAGACAATGAAAACATCTTTTTGAAACATTATTCCAATAGTATGACAGTTCTTCAAAACATTAAATATAGTTATCATATGGCCCAGCAACTGTTTTTTGAGACAGGGTCTCGCTGTTGCCTAGGCTGCAGTGCAATGGTGTAAACATAATTTACCACAGCCTTGACCTCCTAGTCTCAAGCGATCCTCCCACCTTGGCCTCCTGAGTAGCTGGACAACTACAGGTGTGTGCCAACACGCCCAACTTTGTAGAGACAGGGGTCTCAAAATGCTGAGGCTAGTCTCAAACTCCTGACCTCAAGTCTTCCCACCTCAGACCACAGGTGTGAGCCACTGTGCCTGGTCTCATCTTCTACATCTAAACGGCTATCGTCTAAATCAGTGGTCCCCAACCTTTTCGGCAACAGGAAGACAATTTTTCCACAGATGGGGGGAGAGGGGATGGTTTCAGGATGAAACTGTTCCACCTCAGATCATCAGGCATTAGTCAGATTATCATATGGAACACAAAAGCTAGATCTTTGCATGCCTAGTTTACAATAGGGTTTGTGTTCCTATGAGAATCTAATGCCACAGCTGATCTGACAGGAGGCAGAGCTCAGGCAGTAATACTTGCTAACCCTTCACCCACCTCCTGCTGTGCAGCCTGGTTCCTAAGAAACCAGACACTGGGGCCTAGGGACCCCATTCTAAATTCTGAGACGTTCTCAAAAAAAAAAAAAAAAAAAAAAAAAAAAAAAAAAAAAATCACACAATCCTATCTTCAATTACCTGACTCTGTGGAGTAGATGCAGAATTTCCAGTTGAAGGTCTCACTTTTGAAGTTTTACTTAGGGCTTTTTTCTGCTGTAAAGCCATGGTATACTTACTCACAGCATTCCGATATTCCTTATCATGAAAGAGAGAATCTGCATGATACACCAAAAGCTGGTACTTCTGAGATGGGGAGAATAACTCACTAGAAAACAAAGAAAGTATATCCCCTACATGGGTTATTTTGAAATTTTAGAAGGAACACTGTTAGTGTCTACATAAGCCTAGCACAAAGCCTTGTATAATGACAGTTTACAAAAGAGTCAATGTACGTCAAGTGCTAGTCCCTAAAGAGGCATGAAAGGTGGAAGCTGAACTCTGTGCTAATATGATAAACATATCTATTGTTCAATACAATTTTTCTTTACTTAACATAAAAGCAATGATACCTATGAATCAAATGCAGTAGGAGGTACATAGAGAAAATGTAATACATCTTTTCTTCCCCTTCAATCCAAGGCCGCTGCCGTTTTTTTTTGAAACGGAGTCTTATTCTGTCACCCAGACTGGAGTGTAGTGGCACAATCTTGGCTCACTGCAACCCCCACCCCACAAGTTCAAGCTGTTCTCCTGCCTCATCTCCTGAGTAGCTGAGATTACAGGCATGTACCACCACGCCCGGCTTTTTTAAGTAGAGACAGGGTTTTGCCATGTTGGCCAGGCTGGTCTCGAACTCCTGAGCTCAGGCAATCTGCCCATCTCGGCCTCCCTAAGTGTTAGGATTACAGGCATGAGCCACCATGCCCAGCCTGAACAAATGTTTTAAAACTTGAGTATTTAGTCAAGAATTGTAAGTGAGCCGGGCGCGGTGGCTCAAGCCTGTAATCCCAGCACTTTGGGAGGCCGAGGCGGGTGGATCACGAGGTCAACAGATCAAGACCATCCTGGTCAACATGGTGAAACCCCATCTCTACTAAAAATACAAAAAATTAGCTGGGCATGGTGGCGCCTGCCTGTAATCCCAGCTACTCAGGAGGCTGAGGCAGGAGAATTGCCTGAACCCAGGAGGCGGAGGTTGTGGTGAGCCGAGATCGCGCCATTGCACTCCAGCCTGGGTAACGAGCGAAACTCCGTCTCCAAAAAAAAAAAGAATTATAAGTGACTAGAAGTTGGTCACTATTTCTAATGTGGAACTCATATTTTCAATTCCAATCTCATTCCTTCCCAAATAAAAGAAAGTAGTTTGCTGTTTTTCTTTTTTTTTTTTTTGAGACGGAGTCTTATTCTGTTGCCAGGCTAGGGTGCTGTGGCATGATCTTGGCTCACTACAACCTCTGCCCTCGGGGTTGAAGCAATTCCCCTGCCTCAGTCTCCCAAGTAGCTGCGAATATAGGTGTGTGCCACCAGGTTTGGCTAATTTCTCTTGACCTCATGATCCACCTGCTTCGGCCTCCCAAAGTGCTGGGATTATAGGTGTGAGCCATCACAGCTGGCTGAAGTTTACTGTTTTTCTTTGACAAGTAAAAACTATAGCTGCTTATAATGAAAGAACAAAGTGAGTCAAATAATTCTGTAGATAGTTAATTTCTCCACAAGCTAGGCACAGTGGCTCACACCTGTAATCCTAACACTTCAGGACACTGAGGTGTGAAGATTGCTTGAGCCTAAAGTCTGGTCAACATAGTGAAATCCCACCTCTTAAAAAAAATACAGGCACCGGCTGGACATGGTGGCGCATATCTGTAATCCCAGCACTTTGGGAGGCTGAGGCAGGTGAATCAGAAGGTCAAGAGATCAAGACCACGGTGAAACCCTGTCTCTACTAAAAAATACAAAACTTAGCTGGGCGTGGTGGTGCACGCCTGTAGTCCCAGCTACTCGGGAGGCTGAGGCAGGAAAACTGCTTCAACCTGGGAGGTGGAGGTTGCAGTGAGACTGTGCCACTGCATTCCAGCCTGGCGCCTGGTGACACAGCGAGACTCTGCCTCAAAAAAAAGAAAAAAAGTTATTGCCTCTGGAGAAATGGTGGGGTGAGGTTCAAGACTCAGGGAAAGATTCTGATCTGCATGCCCCTTCTCCACTGTTTGAATTTAAGTGTCTACTGACTATTCCACAAGAAATTTTAAAGTATAAATTATGAAGGTCAGAACTTAAACATGTCCTGAAACTAGGAAACTGCCCATCTAACCTAGTATGAAAAAGCATGGGCTAAACTTGGTCTAGCCAGAAAATTAAACTGTTTCAAACTATCCTGTAACATCTTTGAGAACTAAGAGTAACTGGGGCCTACTAAGAGTAACATGGAAACTGTATGGTTTGACAAATCACTCAGAACCAAGAGAAAGACTCCGGGATAAACACAGAAGGCTGACCTAGACCAGGGCTCCTGTCAACATGAAGTGGATGTTGGCAAAATGATGGGTCTCACTAATGAGGTACAAAACACACTAATGAGGCCAGGCTAGGTGGCTCACGCCTGTAATCCAAGTACTTTGGGAGGCTGAAGTGGGCGGATCACTTGAGGTCAGGAGTTTGAGACCAGCCTTACCAACATGGAGAAACCCCGTCTCTACTAAAATTAACAAAACGAGCTGGGCAAGGTGGCGCTGGCCTGTAGTTTCAGCTACTCGGGAGGCTGAGGCAGGAGAATCACTTGAACCCGGGAGGCAGAGGCTGCAGTAAGCTGAGATCGCCTCACTGCACTCCAACCTGGGCGAGAGATGAAAATCTGTCTAAAAAACTAAAAATAAATAAAAACAAAATAGAATAGCCAGGGAGGCTGAAGAACAGTGAACAGAGTAATGAGATGAAGTTGCAGAGAGCGGAGGGCAGATGTTTGCCTTCAGAGGTCACGGGAAAGAATTTTCATGTGTGTAACAAAGGATTTTAAGCAGAGGATGGACATGCAGAGGCTGGAATCAGCCCCATGCTTCATGGATACGAAAAGGTGCCACGCCCACCCATCAAAGGAGTCTCCCGTCACTTTGTTTCTTATTTTACTTTTGACACAAATCTTGCTCTTGTCCCCAGGCTGGAGTGCAGTGGCACTATCTTGGCTCACTGCAAACCGCCTCCTGGGTTAAAGCGATTCTCCTGCGTCAGACTCCCGAGTAGGTGGGATTACAGGCGCCCGCCCACCACACCTGACTAATTTTTGTATTTTTTTAGTAGAGACGGTTTTCACCATGTTGGCCAGGCTGGTCTCGAATTCCTGAGCTCATGATTCTCGGCCTCCAAAAGTGCTGGGATTACAGGAGTGAGCCCCCGCGCCCAGCCCTGTTTCCTTTTATTAAGACAGGCTGTCGTTGTGTTTCCCACGCTAGGGAGCAGTGATGCCATCACAGTTCACTGCAGCCTCGACTACCTGGGCTCTAGCGCTCCTCCTGCCTCAGACTCCCGAATGGCTGGGACCGCAGACGCGCACCACACCGGCTAATTGTTTAATTTTTGTTTTTCGTAGAGGCAGGGTCTCCCTATGCTGCCCAGGCTGGTCTTGAACTCCTGGGCTCAAGCGATCCTCTCGCCTCGGCCTCCTAAAGTACTGGGATTAGAGGCGTGAGCCACCGCACCAGGCCCCGTTTTCAGGGGTTTCCCAGGGCGAGAAAGTAGATCCTCCTGACACACTTAACGGGGGGTACCAATATCAGACGCGGGGCCAGGACATCAAAACCAGGAGGCTGGGTCCCTGAGTTGCAACGAGAAAAAAAGTTCTTCGGGAAGGAGCCAAGAAGGGAGGATTCAGCCTAGCGATTTGACAGTCGCGCTGCCCCGCGACAGGTGCCTCGGGAAACCCTCGCCAGGGTCGTCCTCAGAGCCTCCGCCCTCCATTTCTCAAAGCCGCCGCTCGCCAACATCCCCGCGGAGAGCTGACGCCGGGGCCCTGCACAAACGCCGGCACCCAATGAACTCAACTTGCGCTCCGAAGTCCGCTCCGCTCCACGAGGCCCTTCGCTGACCCCCGAGCCTCCGCTGGCGCCGGCGGCCGCTCCTTCCCGCCTGTTCCCACGCGCCCTCAGCCCGCGCTCCCAGACCGCCGCCGCTTTCTCCTCAGCCCCAGGCCGCTCCCCGCCTCAACTCACGGGTTGTTATTACTCATTGTAAGTAACAAGCTGCTGAGGAGCCGCACGTTCGAGTGCAGCCCCGCGGCCGCCATGTCCCGCACGTGGTCTATCACATTCATCCTGCCCTGCAAGGCCGCGGGCAGCGGCGGCAACTGTGACTAGAAAAGCCGGTAGAGGATCCTTAGGGAAAACTCCAAAATGGCGGCGGCGTCGGGGTCCATCGGGTCCACACGCGGCACCTCCCCCAAGTAAGAGGTAACTACTGAAGTGCCCGTATAAAAAGAAACTCGAATTTCTACTCCCGTCGTGGTTCCTTTCAGGTGGAATGAGTTGTGAGTTTTACGTAAAAACTACGTCACATCCTAAACTGCAAACTTTACTGCGGATTTACAATGAGGCAAAAGGAACCTTATAAGACTACTCGGTCAATTTGAATGCGTCTGAGAGGAATTTGTGCCTCTCAGACACTAAAATCTGTGGGCATGTACCAGAAATATATTAATGGTGAGGGAAAAAAAACGCTGCAACTGGAATGAAATATTCTAATCGGGCGCCAGGGACAGACCTAACGGCTTTTACAGTTGCGCATGCGCACCAGGCAGGGGCCGCCGCGCCCCTCCTCAGATGTTTTGTGTCACAATCAGGCTTGTCGCCTAGGGTGAACTCCTTGTTTCGAGGGGCATATTTTACCCTATGAAATGACTCCCTAGATCCGTGGAAATAAAGGCTGGGTCCAGGAATGAGCTGATACCCCTATAAACCAGCATGTGCCTAGCACAGTTAACGTTTTACAGAAGTTTTACACGAGTTATTGGATGTTCACAAGCCAATCCATAAAGTCGAAGTTGTCATTCCCTTCTCACAGGGCAAGAAACCGCCTGCTTAAATGTTGTGCTCAGGTTGTTAAATGGTTGACTTGGAATCCCATCGAGTGGTTAAATATGTTGCATCGCAAACTCAAGTGTATACAGGGACCAAGGAGGTAACAGCGAATGAAGCAGAGTCCGAATATTCTGCACAATCACCCTCTCAGATATAGCCTGTTGCTCCTTTCTTGAAGGAGACAGGCGTTTTGGTCTATATTTTGTTTTCGTTTGATTTTTACAGTAACAGATGCAAAGAAATGCTATAAAAAAAAATCACAGTGTATCTTCACCAGTCAACTTTTTCAGTTCTTACATTTTGTCACAGTCGAAGCTCTGCAGATCCTTTTCCCATCTCATCCCCTACTCTCGTTTCCTGGATGTAACCTTCAATTTGCTTTTGGTGGACATCTTTTTTTTTTTTGAGACAGAGCCTTCTCTGTCACCAGGCGCCAGGCTGGAGTGCAGTAGCACAATCTCGGCTCACTGCAACCTCCGCCTCCTGGGTTCAAGCAATTTTCCTGCCTCAGCCTCCCGAGTAGCTGGGACTGCAGGCGCGAGCCACCAGCTGATTCTTGTATTTTCTTTAGTAGAGACGGGGTTTCACCATGTTGACCAAGATGGTCTCGATCTTTTGACCTCGTGATCCGCCAGCCTCGGCCTCCCAAAGTGCTGGGATCACAGGCGTGAGCCACCGCGCCCGGCTGCATCATTTTTTTTACTTTTTTTTTTGCGACAGAGGTTCGCTCTTGCTGCTAAGGCTAGACTGCAATGGACCAATCTTGGCTCAACGCAACCTCTGCCTCCCGGGTTCCAGCGATACTCCTGCCTCAGCCTCTCTAGTAGCTGGGATTACAGGCATGCGCCCCCACCCGCAGCTAATTTTGTATTTTTTGTAGAGAAGAGGTTTCTCCATGTTGGTCAGGCTGGTCTCCAACTCCCTACCTCAGGTGATCCGCCCGCCTCAGCCTCCCAAGGTGCTGGGATTACAGGGTGAGCCACCGTGCCTGGCCAAACTTTTTTTTTTTTTTTAAGATGGAGTCCCGCTCAATCACCCAGGCTGGAGAGCAGTGACGCGATTTTGGCTCACTGCAACTTTCGCCTCCCTGATTCAAGTTCAAGAGATTCTCTTGCCTCAGCCTCCTGAGTAGCTGAGATTACAGGCATGTGCCATCAAGCCTGGCTAATTTTTGCATTTTTAGTAGAGATGGGGTTTCACCATATTGGCCAGACTGGTATTAAATTCATTTAGGGTCTGGAATTCCTCCGTGGAAGAAGCAGTGGGCTGACCTGAGGTGATCCGTCCACCTGAGCCTCCGGAAGTGCTGGGATTGCCACCGCGCCCACATTTGGCCACTTCTTCAGATTTCAGATTCTTGTGTAGCACCTCCCCCCGCCACCCCGTACATGTGAAACGAACAAAATTTGTACACTTTTCTCTTGTTAATCTTTCTGGTGTCAGTTTGTTTTCTAGATCCAGCTCAAGAACCCACTAAGAGCTAAAAGAGGGGTTGGATGTGATCTCTGGCTCCCTTGCAGCACTGTACAAATGTTTGCTATTACACTTTTTTTCTAAAACCATATCTATGTTCACAAAAATGGAAACAATTCAAATGTTCATTGATGAACAGATAAACAAAATGTGGCATATTCATACAATGAACACCATTAAAAAAAACAAACAACATGAATGAATCTCAAATCTATGCTAAAAATAAAATTATGCTAGGCGAAAGAAGCCAGACTAGAAAAGTTTACATAATCTGACTCTATTTGTATGAACTTTCCGGAAAAGACAAACTGATAGAGACAGAAAGTAGATCAATTGTTGCTCAGGGTAAAGGATGGAAATGGGAGGGTCTACAATTGGATAGGAGGGGTCTTTGTGGAGGTGATGGAAATGTTTGAAAACTGGATTGTAATGATCAATGCATTACTTTGTAAATTGGCAGCTAAATATCATTGAATTGTATGCATAAAATAGGGGAAGTTGATTTTACATAAATTATACTTCTACTTTGGTAGAAGTATAATTTTGCAATAAATAAATTGATTTTTTTTTTTTCAGATGGAGTCTTGCTCTGTCACTCAGGCTGGAGTGCAGTGGTGCTATCTTGGCTCACTGCAACCTCCTCCTCCCGGGTTCAAGCAACCCTCCCACCTCAGGCTCCTGAGTAGCTGGAATTATAGGCACCCACCACCATGCCCAGCTAATTTTTGTATTTTTAGTAGAGATGGGGTTTCACCATGTTGGCCAGGCTGGTCTCGAACTCCTGACCTTAAGTGATTTGCCTGCCTCAGCCTCCCAAAGTGCTGGGATTTTAGGAGTGAACCACCACCCCCAGCCGAAATAAATTAAAATTTCTTTTTTTTGAGATGGAGTCTCAGTCTCTTTGTTACCCAGACTGGAGTGCAATGGCATGATCTCGGCTCACCACAACCTCTGCCTCCTGGGTCCAAGCAATTCTCCTGCCTCAGCCTCCCCAGTATCTGGGACTACAGGTGGGCACCACCATGCCCAGCTAATTTTTGTATTTTTAGTAGAGACAGGGTTTCACCTTGTTGACCAGGATGGTCTCGATCTCTTGACCTCGTGATCCACCCGCCTTGGCCTCCCAAAGTGCTGGGATTATAAGTGTGAGCCACTGCGCCTGGCCATGAATTAGTTTTTTTATAAAGATAAGACAAAAAAATAAATGATATCTCAATAAAACTGTTAAAATATAAACATCTATGGCCGGGTGTGGTGAATGAATCAATGACCTTATGTCATTGCTCATTTAATTAAAAGGTTTGACATATTATATATAAAATGGTTTATAAATCATGAAGCACTATATAAATGGAATAAATCACAATTATGGCATATTCATTGTTAATTGGACTCTTCTCTCCCCCTTACTCTCCTTCCATCTTCACTGTACATTCATTCAACATGTCTATTTTGCACCTACTGTGTGCCACAAATTGTTCTAGACCATGGAGATTTAGCAGTAAACAAAACAAACAAATTCATCTTCCTATGGAGAAATAGCCATAGCATTTAGCAAAATGGAAGTCATTGAGGATCTTGACAAGAACATTTTCAGTGGCGCTTTGGTAAAGAGAAGGTGGGAGGAGACAAATGTGAGACAGTGCAGATAGATAATTCTGTTTTTTTTGTTTTTTTTTTTTTGAGACAGAGTCTCACTCTGTCACCCAAGCTGGAGCTGGAGTGCAACGGCGTGATCTCAGCTCACTGTAACCTCCACCTCCTGGGTTCAAGCGATTATCCTTTCTCAGCCTCCCTAGTAGCTGGGACTACAGGCGCATGCCACCACACTCAGCTAATTTTTTGTATTTTTAGTAGAGACAGGGTTTCACCGTGTTAGCCAGGATGGTCTCAACGTGCTGACCTCATGATCTGCCTGCCTCAGCCTCCCAAAGTGCGAGATTACAGGCATGAGCCACCACGCCCAGCCTTTTTTAAGATGGAGTCTTGCTCTGTCGCCCAGGCTGGAGTGCAGTGGCACGATCTTGGCTCACTGAAACCTCCGCCTCCCGGGTGCAAGCGATTCTCCCACCTCAGCCTCCCCGGTAGCTGGGATTACAGGCGTACACCACTGTGCCCCACTAATTTTTGTATTTTTAGTCAAAATGGGTTTCACCATGTTAGCCAGGCTGGTCTTGAATGCCTGACCTCAGGTGATCCACCTGCCTCGGCCTCCCACGGTGTTGGGATTACAGGCATGAGGCACTTCGCCCAAATGATAATTCTTTTTGCTGCAGAGAAATAGTTCTCAGCCTGTGGTGGAGGCAGGGTGATGACTGTGTTCCTAGGGGACATTTGGCAATATCTGCAGACATATGTGGTGGGGTGGGGGTTGCTTCTGGTATCGGTAGATAGATACTAGGGATGCTGCTAAAAATTCTGTAATGTACAGAACAGCCCCCCGCAGCAAAGTGGAGCAGAAATTTACATTCATGCCAGGCACAGTGGCTCACAGCTATAATCCCAGCTACTTGGGTAGCTGAGGCAGGAGAATCACTTGAATCTGGGAGGTGGAGAGTTCGGTGAACCAAGATCACTCCATGGCATTCCAGCCTGGGTGACGGAGGGAGACTGTTGATAATTCCTATAAAGAAATAGAGCTAAAACACTCCTGTGATACTGATAAACTCACACAAAGAATGTATGAAGCAAAAATGTTTATAGAGAAAAATTTAGAGGCAAAGGAGGACCTGCCTCTAAAGTGATCCTTCCACCTCAGCCTCCCAAGTAGCTGGGATTATAGGCATGCACCACCACACCAAGCTAAATAAAAAAATTTTTTTGTTTGTGTAGAGATGGGGTCTTGCTATGTTGCCCAGGCTGGTCTTAAACTCCTGGGCTCAAGCAATCCTCCTACCCTG